ACCTGCAAATTATCATTCCTTAACTGGATCTTCTTTCATTCACAGTTTGTTCGGTGCTAACGGTATGAACAAATCCTCTTTAACGGTACAGATCTCTCAGAAGACAGCGATTTTGCAAAATTATGGTAACTTTAGGACTTCGAATAAATGCTCCAGCAGCAGTAAGTCGTGCAGCACATAAAAGTATTGTACTAAAATTGCAATTTTTTTCCGATGGACAGTATTTGGCAGTTGCTGCCTGAAAAGATGGCACCCGTAAAAGCCTCTTCTTTGCTTAGTTGCTGATCGGGCTAATGGCTTTTTGCTTTAAATATATCAAGTTATACAAAAAATGTAAAAACGCATGCTTATTGTTCGTGTTTTTTCATATGAAATATCTTGTTAAAGATGTAATACAGCACAGGTTCCCACAGTAATATAGCCGCCTTCACGGTATCCCTTATTTGGTCTTCGTTTTTATGCGTTTTTGCCGCTACAGTGCTGCAACAAACAACAAAAACGTATATCGCGACGACCCTGTGTGTGTGTTTTTGTACTCGTCTGTCCAAGTATTTCAACTCGCCAAATGAGCAAGCTTTGGAGCTAAAATTTCGCCGGTGTGTTCCCCGGCCTAGTGCCGCAAACTTCTGGACCCCGCGTGGGGCCACGTGGAAGTGTTGGCGAGAAGGTTGGTAACCCGGGAGCAAGAAAAGCTAGAAGGCTGAAGCTTCGGAGAACGTCCCCCGTTAACGTACGGCCAACAGTTTTCAAACTCAGCTCCTTAAAATCGCCGGGGCGAATGTACTGGCACGTGAAAATCTTGGCGGGAAAATTGCTAAACCGGGAAAAATAAGAGCTAGAAGGCTGCATTTTTAGGGTAATGTTAATTATTCACGTGCGGCCAAAAGATTTCAAGTTCAGCTTCTTAAAACTGCCCGGAACTCTCGTACGGGCGTATAAAAATTTTATCGAGAAAATTGCTAGCTCGAGAATGAGAAAAGCTGGAAGGCTAAAACTTTACGGCAAATGTTCAGTGCTCGCGGACAAGCAAAAAACTTCAAATTCAGCTCCGTAGCAC